AAGTAGATCAATAAAATTTTTGAAATTCTTAATATTTTGACTGCTTTCTCAGTATAAAAGCAGTCAGTATTTAGCCCATGACCTGCGTTTTTCTGTGAGATTTGGTATGGAAAGTTGTGCCAGCCCTAGCCGGTTTGGCTCAGTGGATAGAGCGTTCACCTATAAACCAGGAGGGCATGGTTCGATTCCTGATCAGAGCATATGCCTGGGTTGCAGGCTCAATCCCCAGGGGTGGGGGTATGCAGGAGGCAGCTGATCAATGATTCTCTCTCATCATTCCTTCCTCTCCTGATCGATGTTTCTCTCCCATCGAAGTTTCTAACTCTCTATCCCTCTCCCTTCTTCTCTGTAAAAATCAATAAAATATATTTTAAAAATTTAAAAAAAGAAAGATGTGCCAATGGTTTATTATAGAGGAGAAAGTCTAATGCTTTTATTGGCTATATCTTGTTTTAATTTTTACAAAAAGATCTTTTTAGGAAATGAGCTCCTTCTGTGTTTGGCTTTAAAACTGTCTTAGAGGCTTCATCACCACTCTGCCCCAGTGCCCCGCCCCCTGCTTTGCTCACTTGAAGTCTTTGAAGCAACCCTGGGTGGCAATGGACTTAATATGCCCTTTGCTTTGTACTCCCTTTAGTTATTTGGCTCCTGCTTTGATTCTTTGTGGTTACCTGATCCACTTACTCTGCTCCTATCTTGAGCAGGTTGACAAATAGACAACCAGAAACTTAATACTAAGTTAGAGTTATGGGTCAATTGAGGTTCCTCTTCATTGAAACACATATGTCTCTTCTAGAGCAATGTTTTCTTTTTTTTAATATATTTTATTGAGTTTTTACAGAGAGGAAGGGAGAGAGATAGAAAGTTAGAAACATCGATGAGAGAGAAACATCGACCAGCTGCCTCCTGCACACTCCCCACTGGGGATGTGCCCGCAACCAAGGTACATGCCCTTGACCGGGATCGAACCTGGGACCTTTCAGTCCACAGGCCGACGCTCTATCCACTGAGCCAAACCGGTTTCGGCCTAGAGCAATGTTTTCAAACTACTCCATGAGACAGATCCATGGACTATGAAGTAGTATTCTGTGAAAAAAGAATTATATGGTCAAATGGTATGTGTCTCCCAATAAATACTGTAACATTAACAACAATTTTTTTGTTAAAAATGTTTCTTTTTCAGACTAATTTTTTTATTTTGGTCCTATATAGTATTTTTGATGCTGGTTATGAAAACAGTTTGTAACTCGTCTTCCTATAAACCATATTTTTTTACCATATTTTCTTAGTATACTCGTCGACGACTGAAAAAGAACATTTTGTGAAAACGAGTATACACGTTTCTGCCGGGGAAGGGGTTAAATGCTCTGAGAAGTTTTGCAGAAATGAAACCTGTCAGTTGACTTGTATTTGTTTTTCTAAATGCAATTGTGCATGGAACTCTTCTTTCTGGAATACCTAGTCACATCTCAAAGCTCACCAGTTTTCTGTGGAAGACATTTTTGAAGTTATATTCTTAGAATTTAAACTATAAGTTAACAATATTCCTGACCCACACCTTCAACAAGTTTTTAATAGATTGATTCTGGTTTAAACAGTGGGTCATCTACATTTGTATTATGTTAGATAAAAGTCATACAACGTCAAATGGGTTATCTAAGTAAGTCCAGACATCTAGTGAATAAGAAAACACACACAAAAAAACTTGACAGAAAGTTATAGATGCCTTAGAAATCCAGAACTCTTAGTAATATAAATTAGTTCAGTTACTGCTATCTGTGCATTACCCATTGATTTACCTTTGTGTGTGTGTGTGTGTGTGTGTGTGTGTGTGTGGTGGGGGTTGGGTTTTAAAATGAAACTGATGCCAGGATAGTCTGGCATATTTTAGAAAAGTACAAAATGTCCTGGCCTTAATAGTTTGGGCACTTGACTTATCACTTTGCATATGGATTCACTGTTAATCATAGGAGTATCAATATATAGTAAGTTAATTCTATAATGTGGATGCCTCACTATATCATTGGTTTTTTTGAAGTGGGCAAGGTAATGTTTATGTTAAGCAATTATGATTTAGGGGTCTTAGATATTTATTTTTTGGGAGTTGAGTTAAAGAAAATGTTTTTTTTTCTTTTGAAATAAAACAACAATTATGACATACAGTAATTCTCACCTTAAAGTAAACTCAATGTCAGTTAAATCTTCCTTTTTTTTTGTCTGAGATACACGAAACCCACTGGTGATGTATTTTCAATATGTATTTTTAAAATTTCATTTTTCTTGTTTGAAAAATTCCTACATATAAATAAAAAGAAAAATAGGTGACCTTTGGGAATAACAGAATTTAATCAAATAAATAAAATTTTTAGCTTATGGGTATTGGATAGGTAGATGAAATTGTATCCTCCAAAAAATGAATTATCTCATTACTATTTTGACATAAAATCAGATTTAACAAGAGTTTCTATATAGCTTCATAAGTAGGTTTTTATGATTTAATAATAATAAGAGAATTCTCTTTTTAACCTGCCATCGCCTTCTGAAACCTTTCTTTCCTTTCACACCCCGAACACGTATGCTGTTCGAGACAGGGAAACCAGTTACCCGTGAAATCATGCCGTCATTTTTCTTCATTAGCCCTTTGGTCTGGCCGCATTTGGAGAAGCTGATTTCCCCTAACAGATCCACTAACATAGCTGTTTGGAGAAGCAGTTTTACTCAATTAATTATATTTCGTTGCCCTGCTCTGGTTGGCTGATCATTCCTGTTACCTAAGAGGAACAGTAGTTTTACCTCAGAGTAGAAGCACCTCGCACTGCAGGAAACTAAGGCAACACAAACGATAGGCCAGCTGTAATAACAAACGCAAGTGTTCCACCTCGGGAAGGAGGGGCGGGAAGCCGGCTGGCATGCTGCCCGCTTTCACACTTGCATTCCTTTCAGGCTTACTGCGAGTGCAAGGCGGAGTGACTGAGGCTGCTCCGGGCAGCTCAGACCGGCCTCCAGCCTCCCGGCTGCCTTTCTCCCCCTGTAGCTTTGAGCCAAACCCATAGGTGAGATCAATCACCTGCCCAGACAGCAGCTCCCCACAGCCCCACCGCAGGACTAGCGTTAGTTAATGTGCTGCCTGGGAAGGAGGGGAGAAAAAGAGCACCTTGTTCCTTAACAAGAACTTGAAATGGCACTTATTTTAACAAAAATGACGGAAGGCATACTCTGTGACTGGTATTGTGACCATTATGCTTTTAAAACTTACTAGGGAGAGTGACATTGAAGGCAGGCAGGAGGAACTCATATTCTTATAGTGCATGTTTATTTATTTATTGATACAATCTATTTTTATTGATTTCAGAGAGGAAGGGAGCAGGCCGGGCTGGTGTATTTTTGAATTTGCGATGACTGTCCTTTGCTAGACTAGATCATTAAGGACAAACTTATTCACCTCCCACCTTATTTTTTTCAGTTAGCTAAGAGTCATTTTTCTTTCTCTTCTTCAAAGAGCTCTTATTTGGATTTGACCAAATTTCATCAGTAGCAATTTTAGATTTATAGTGAGAAAAGCGGATGTGTGTGATTTGGCTATTTTTCCTCTGACTAATTTTTCTTGTTTTATAAAGCTGTCACAGAGAGAGAGAGTGATGGCTCTATTCATTTTAAACAACAGCTTGTTACATCGAAGTTCTGTCAGGTGACGATCCAAACTGTGAGAGCTCTGAAGTCCCAATTGTCCAATATCTCACAGACTCAGCCAGCGGCCTCAGTGAGAGGGAAACAGGACCCGCAGTGGCGACAATGATGGGCTATCAATATTTTAGCTCCTTCTCCCTTTCATTTCATGTTCTCCCTCCTGCCTGCTGTGTTTGCTTCAGTATTCTCTAATTCTGCCTCTGTCTTTTAAAAGGCCACTTGTGTTCAAGTCTGGAAAGCATCGTTTAATTTGCATTGAATTCATTTCAGCCAATTGTTTTGTTAGTTTACCCAAGGAGAATTCCAATATAACAAACTGGCGTTTCCAGAGTATTTTACTAATGCACGTTAAATGATAATGAACATATCTCCCATTAATTGGTCCTGGTGATGAGCAAAGTAAATGTTCAGCCTCTCTTTGTTGGTCAATAAATAAATATAAGAGGCTCTCACACATCGTGAGAGTCCCTGATAGCTAGAACATGTGGGGTCTTTGTGAAAACTGGAGAAAGGAGTCCTCTGGGCAGACAGGTTGCAAAAGATACCTACCCTGCACAGAGCAAGCTGGAAAAAAGGCGCCCCTTCCTCCTGGGGGGACTCTGGTGCCTTTGGTTGGTTGAGTGGGAGCTGATGGCCCCCATTCACTCTTGGTCCTGACCATGTGCATGTGCAGGCCATGGCCTGCATGCCAATCAGGGCGGCCCTGAGCCTGGGACAGGAGGGCAGGCAAGGGCACTCCACTCTGCTTCCCTCCCTTCCCGACTTCAAACCCTGGAGGTTTTCTTATTTTGTTATTTGAGTTGATGGGAGCTAATCCATTTTGATGGTAGTGGTACATGAAAAGGAGGGTCAGAGAGTTACTATTTGATTGTAGGATAAACGGAGTGAAATCGCCTCAGTGACGGTTCCATACAGCTTTTCCTTCCCAGCGTGCAATGTTAGTAAGTACATCACTGGCTCCTTCATTAAAGAGGAAACTCGTTTCCTAGACAACACTCCAAAGGTTCACTTGGAAAGGTTTGTTCATCTTAATTATCATTACATTGTTATCAGACAACTGCTTCTATATACCCATAGGCCATTAGAAGCAGTCATTTGATCAGCAAGTTTACATATGAAACTTTTCTGGTATGTGCTATATCTTATCATGCACGAATAGTAACATAATTAAGTAACCGTTATGTCTGCTGCGTTGAAGTGTCAGAAGCTGCTACCGTGCCATGAAAAAGTATCACATGCTTTCCCCCCATCACCCCAAACTGTAAAAGAATGAATAATAAAACTTAGGGCTTTCTCTCCTCTTCTTATTTCAGGTGATGTGTTCCACATCACTGCTCCCAATAGATTCTCCTATGAGGAGGCCGAAGAAGAGTGTGAAAACCAGGACGCCCGGCTGGCGACAGTGGGGGAGCTCCACGCGGCCTGGAGGAATGGCTTTGACCAGTGCGATTACGGGTGGCTGATGGACGCCAGCGTCCGCCACCCTGTGACTGTGGCCAAGGCCCAGTGTGGCGGTGGTTTGCTTGGGGTGAGAACCCTGTATCGCTTTGAGAACCAGACAGGCTTCCCTTCCCCTGATAGCAGATTTGATGCCTACTGCTTCAAACGTAAGTGTTTGATACCTTTTTAAAAGTTACAGATTTAAAAAAAAAATACTTCGAAGGCATGCATTGATGTTCACCTAGCGACTGGGAAGGATCCCATAACTTGCAGTCTGTGCATGGAGTGGAAACAGCACAATAACTTTCAAAAGCATGCAGATGGAACAGCAGTGAGATGGTTATAACTGCGTGAAGTTTGACAAATGGTTTTCTAAAGGTGTTGAAGAAATGTCAAGTTAAGGCCTTAATGGTGCCCCACTGCACCACAAAACATATATATGAGTCATTATTTTATATTAATTTCAGTACTTAAATGCAATTAGATAGTTGGTGCTATAATGCCAAGGCCAACTGTGGCTGAGTTGAGACCTTGAGTCTGTTTATTTTGTCTTTGTTTGGTATGTCTTTCTTTGAAATGGTGGAGAACTGAAATCTCAATAATTGCAGGTGAGTACTTAGAACTGACATAATCATAGCATTCAATTAATACCTAAAAATGAACCATGCTATAAATTAAAATCTTTTTTTATCCCATTTTGTTTCAAGTAAGGGAAATGTGTCTTATAATAATTCTCTAGAATCATATTGACATACAATATATGCTTTTTTGCTATCTTCATTAGGTTTGCTACTTAAATTGGTGTTAAATAACAATTTTCAACATTTATGATATAATTATTTAAAATTTTCAACTGACATTAAGTGACTTTATCAATAGTAGTCTCATGATATAATACTTGTAGAATGTTTAATTAAACAAGCAAATAATCCAGAGTCTGTTGTTATTTACTGTCAGGTCTATATTGTGACAGCTAAACAAAGATCTCCCAAAATTTTGGGTGACCTTGAGTTATGTTTAAGTTAGAGCCATGTTATATTGAAATATAGTGAAAAGTTTTTACCAAGCTTCTAACACATCTTGTTATAGCAACATATAACTGAAATGAGTAGAAAATAGCTAGTGTAATTGGTTTCTAAAGTGAAATACACAGGCATTCTTCATCAACCAAAAGGACAATGCTAGGATCTGAGTGGTCCGCAGAATAGATATTAGCACAATGGAAAGGTGTTACTTCACACATTGCTGCCTCCCACTATGAGGCCTCTGCTTGGATCTCCTCCCAACAACTCAACTTCCTGAGTGTTAAAGCCACATGTTGTGTATTAGCACAATACAAATGGGCAATAAAAAGCCATTGAAAATACTAGCTTTTGTTTCTAAACCCTGAAACAATATGAAAGTTTTTCTTGCTAATTTTTCGGAAAACAAACAACAATGACAAAACCTATTCCTAAAAGTGGAAAGATAAACATTCTTTTAAGTCACATTCGCATAACAGTGATTTTCAAATAGTTCAGGCTCAATGATCAGTTTTACATTGTGACTGAAAGGATTAAGGAATAAAATTGGATTGGTGTATGTTGGGACAAAGGGGTTAGAGAGGTTAAATTAGG